TTTTTTTTTTACTTTTTAATAAAAATCGTTTGTTTTATGGACACGCTGCAGCAGCTTTGAATAACATTTTAGACATTAGTCAAGTAATCGAAGACAAACAAAAGTTTTTTTTTTCTTAGGTTCAGTGTTCCAATAAATTGTGCCTACAGGGTAATTTTCTATACTTGCATTATTCTTTAATCTAATTATTTTATTCATCATCTTAATAAACACACAAAAAAAGCATTCAGCTTCTTTAAAAATTGGGAACTTAAGAAATTAAATATAATAAAATACCCATCATTATATGATCCACTTAAGCAGCAGCATTTAGTTTTGTAATTTCTGTAATTTTTACATCAGAGCACATTTCCCAGATGACTTAACTCGGCTCGGCCGCAAAGTTTTTCCCTGATCACGCGCATCATGCATTAGTTAAGAGCTGGCCTGTGTGGCAATTGCGGAACCCATTTGGCCGACTATTAACAGCTTTATAGTTCGAAATGATGCTGAGGTACACTAAAGTACAGTGGAGCACACGTAATTGCACTCGATGGGCTACACACACACACACACCCATTTGTGCCTCAAGGCGAGACCCTAAGGCAAGGTTCTTCAGATCGCTTAGCCAGCGCCGTCAATTGCTGCTTTGACCTTTTGCATTTTGGCTAACAACAGCTGTTTTCCCGCCACACAACTGACCTTAGCCGATCTTCAAGCTAAACAAAAAATTAAAAAGCTGCAAGCGATGCTATTAATAACTGCCCAACGAATTTTGCACAGTGCACTAAGAGGGCAACCCGAGCGAGAGAAGGGGCGGAGGCGGAAAGCGCCAAAGATTGGCTGAGTGGAACAGACAGAGCCAAGATTCGAGAGCTCTGCTGCAGCTCATTAAGCGACCAACGAACGGGCAACAGCTGTTGATGTGGCTGTTCGCTGTTCGCTGTTCACTCTGCGCTGTTCGGTGTTCGGTGCTGCGTGTTGTTGTTGCTGCCTCAACTGAAGTTGCAGCTAGTTGGGAACACTTGAGCCACACTTTGCAACGCCAGGGCAGACAGGCAACCAGCCAAGACGCGGCTCTAAATGAAAACAAAAGTGAAAAGGTCAGCACCCAGGCAGGGAGTCGCAGCTCAAGAAGTGCCAGACGCAAAACGAAGCTCCACAGTTGAAGCGCCAACACTCAGCCAAGTGTAGCCGCTCAGCTCAAACGGTTTGGCAGCTATACACTTACCGAAAGTATCTTAGCTCTCTAAACAATATTAAATTTAACTTAAATAATTGAAAAATTTGTAGGAAATGTAGTATTTATTTTTTCGATAAATTTATACCATATTATATATTTATTTTATAATGTTTATATGTCCTTTGAATATTTTATTTTATTCAAATTTCATTTATTAAATTTCGTAACACTTCTTATATATATTTTCTTCTCATAAACTTTATACAGATATATTTCTGACTGTAACATAAAATTGAAATTTATTTATAAGAATCACAATTTACATTCAAATTTCATATTACTCTACATTATTTATTTATATCAAAAAAATATATTTGACAACTTTTTATCAAATTTTAATGAATGAATAATGAGTTGATTTTTTAATTTTCATTGTTCAAGATAATGATTTGCTTTTAAATGCAAAAAATTTGTTTAGAAATTCTAAACCAATTTATAATGTTAAGTCATATAATAATATAGTCCCCGGCTTCTAGATTTATTATAAGAATTGTATAATTTAAGTATACTTTTTATGTACAATACTTGTATACACATCATTTTTATCAGTTTCTTCATTACAAACAACTTCGTCGTTCTCAGAATTCTATTTTGATAGAATAACAACAAATCAGCTAGCCAAGGTAGTTGAAAATCTGCTATTAAATATATGAGTTCTGCTTATGCCTTTCTCTCCAACTTTTGCTTAATTTATAAATATAATAGATTTTTCTTAAGAATTCTTAGCTAATCTTTAATTCATAGTATTAAAACAGCTAAGCTTAACTGTAGATCTTTTTTTTTTAATAGTTACTACATTTAATGAACTGAGCTCAAAACAACTCATAGCATTATATTATATATCGTATTATATAGTATTTCACCCATTACATCAAAGGCCCATTACCATTGTCTACACAAAAAGTTTTCATTTGAATAACTTTTATGGCCTATCTCAGACTTCTTAAATAACATTTGATTATACTTTCCTTTAATGTTTCTTTGAGATGAATTATATATCCCATTTTCTAATGTTAGTGTATAGGCTTTTTTATGGGCCTTCGTTTTGTGTTTGTTGCCCGTTATTGCCCGTTTCTGTTAGCAGTTTTCCGGCTAACAAGTTGCCCATGCGCCAGTGTTGGCCCAAAGGCAGGCAAAACATTTGCAGCCAGTTGCTGGCTCCGATGCTGGCTCTCGACTTGACTTGGCTCGGGGTTGCCCAATGTGCGAGTACTTGTTAAAGCCATTCGCATTTTAATCTTTCTAAACTATTGGGCAATAGTTTTGGTTCATCGGGGGGCCAGACCAATATGCGATTATCTGCGGCAGTTGCAAATGGGAAACTGAAATACAAAAAATTGCAGCAATTTGAAGAAGCTAAACGTGGCTTTGCGGTCATTAATAGTGACATTTGTTGTTGTTGTTATTGTTGTTGTTGTTGCTGGTGCTGCTGGAAGGGGCTTTGTTGCTTTAATAGACTGGGAAATTGGGCAAATGAAAAACGCGCGTAATTGAAGAAGCAGCCTCGAGCCGACAGCGACTCGAGTGACAACTTTCAAATGGAAATGAATTATTGGCAGCACTTTCATTTTATGGTACATTTGCAATTCGATTTCCTTTCCCAAAATCCATTCACAGAAGCCGCACCAATCGCATCCGAATCAAACAACATCAGCATCAACTCTGTGAGCCCTGCTTCAATTGGATTTGGATCCCTTTGGCTGCTGATTCCTTGTGATCGCACTGACATTAGCAAATGGCACAAGCGCCGCGGCGTCGTCTGCTCTGAGAGACAATTGCAATTACCCCAGCTACAGAGTCGGCAAATGCTTATGTAATTTTCGCTGACTGACTGCAATTGACATTTGGAGCTGAACAAAAGGTGAATCGCGCCAGCTGCCACAGCATGGACGGACACAAGCCACTCCAAGATGCCGCGGGCAGGGCTAATGAGGCAGCAGCAGCAGCAGCATCAGCAGCAGGCAGTGTCAATGGGTCGGCAGCTCTGCGTCGCCAGCCGACGAAATATCCACATGGTCTGAACATAACGGTGCAGACAGTCGATGACGAGAAGGCCGATGACTACTCGCGTGCCTCCACATTAAAAAGCAGCAGCAGCAGCGGTGGCGGCGGCAGCGACATCGAATCCTGCTGGACCGACACCCAGAAATATCGCATCGGCATGGTTGGCAGTCCCGAGACTCTGGCCGAGCTCCAAGTGCGTCGCTACAAATACCCGTTGACGGCGAACTATTATCTGAACCGAGCTGGACCCGGCGCTGGCCAGCAGCAGGAGAAGCCCACGCCACTGATGCTGCTGGGCTATGCCAAGCGCGCCTGCCGCTGGAAATATCTGCGCTGGCCCATCATCTTCGTGGCCAGCGTGCTGCTCTTCTTTGGACTGATCACCTACTGCCTCTGGCTGCACGACGTCAGCGTGGCTCGAGCCCGTTTCCTACAGCGTCGCTACGAGGTGACCTCGTCCAGCTCAACCACCGAATGGGACGGCCTGCTCGATGATGAAACCATGGAGGTGCTAACAACGACTACAGAGAATATAAATACCATGCAGGAGTCGACGCGACTCAGAGCGGTCGAAATACACAGGGAACACACGACGGCCATGTCTGTGACGGAGGCGGACATTCCGGACGGCGATGATGATTATGACGATGTGCTGCTACCTGCTGACAGTATTCGCTTCACCTCCGGCCACCAGAATAGCTTTGGAGTGCCCATCGAACAGGATAAGCGAATGCTGCAACTGCTCAAAGAGGTAAGTGGGATTTAATATTTGGGAAATTTTCTAATTTTTCTATTTTCTTTAATTAGCTTAAGTTGAACTTAGAATTTACTTATCATTTAATAGCACCCACCTTTCGATTGGAAAACTTTTCTTTATAGCGTCTTTTACAAGATAGACTCATTATTTTATTCAGCAAAACTATATATTTCTTCATTAAAAAGTACAATAAACTTTTACTAAAGCTATCTTTGCTTGAAAGTGGCGCTAGCTTATCGATTTAGAAAATAAAATGTCGAAATTGAAAGACCAACTCTATTTTATGGGCTATAAACCTAAATTCTAATAGCTTTGTTATAATCGACAACGGTTTGGCTCCTTAGTAAATTCCTAAAAAAAACAAAAACAAAACCAAATGACTAAACAAAAGACAGAATGCATGATTATAAAAATTTGCCTCTCTATGAGCTTCTCATTACAATCCAAACAATAGGCTAGCTAAAATCACTTTTTCGACTTAATTTTTTATTTAGGGAAAATGCATTAAGCATTACAAAAAACTGCATCTGTCAGTGAAATAAAAGAGAAAATTAACAAAATTCTCTTTATTGATGTTTTATTTATCATTTTCTTATTTACTGTAAAATGACAATAGGCAGACGATAGTATTCTCAAATAGAAACTATGTATATTATGTAGACTGAATAAGATCAGAAAATTATTTCAACAATATAACAAAGCCGATTTGAGTATTTTATTGGCCAGACCTCAGCTTACATCCAATATTCAATATATAAAGTAATGGTGCTCATGGAAAGAAAAAAAAATAAATGTAGGAAAGTCTGATATGTAATTTATATACTATATACATTTAACTAAAATAAATAATATAAGATATAAGAATTCATAATATTAACAACTTAACATTGTAAATAAATAATAATAAAGGGAGGGAGGTAAAAAGAAAATAAGGGATTGGGAAGTAACTACACAATGTGCTCACATCAGATCAGTTAGAATCATTTGCCTAAGATGATCTATTTATTTCTTTTTGTTCTATTGCCTCTCATCCACTCTCACTCTGTCTTCCCTCAACCCCCTGCTGTAGCTACTGCCGAAGCCGCAGTCCACACCCCCCGCCAATGTGCGTCTGTTGACACGCGTGTCGCCAACGCTGCCGCCGCCCTCGGGGGTCAGCGGCAGGCCGACTGAGGCGATGACCACGACGCCATCGAGCAGCATTGGCAGCGGCTGCATCTCGACGGCGCTGCCCATGTGTCGCGGCATCCTGGACTATGATCTGACCTACAACAATGGCAACGGAGCACCCCGCGACGCTGCCTCCATGGCGGCCTACGAGCAGCTCATCGGCGCCAACTGTTCGGCCCGAGCCGTCGAGTTTGTGTGCGCTGCCCTGGAGCCGGAGTGCCGACCCTTGCACATTGGCCAGCTGCCGCCGTGCCGGCGCATTTGCAAAGGTAACTCAGAGGGAGTCCGGTCTGTTGGGTCATTAATCAGCTGCGCTGTTTCGCTTTAGCCATACTGGAGGCCTGTTCCATTGTGATAGCCAACTCGGACCAGCTGAGCGAGCTGTTCGACTGCAGCCAGTATCCGGATGCGCATGAGACGCACAAGTGCGAGGATCCAACGCGCAGGCGTGACTTTTGCTACAGCAACGAGTTCCAGTGCCACGATGGCAGCTGCATTCCCCAGCAGTGGCAGTGCGACAACATCAAGGATTGCGCGGGCGGCGAGGACGAGGACGAGCAGTGCCTGGTGTGCGAGCACGAGGAGTTCCGATGTCGCTCCAATGAGAAGTGCATAGCGGAGAGCCTGCGCTGCGACCTCAACTACGATTGCTTCGATGCCAGCGACGAGGAGGACTGCGACGATTACGGCTCTGGCGATGCGGCGCCCTTCGATGAGGCTGAGTTGAATGCTTTTCCGCGCATTTTCTCCTACGCCAGTTTCCTCTCGCCCAACGAGACAAACGAGAAGCTCTACACTTACATCACGGCCACCACGGACGAGGAGGCGGGCACCGAGACCAAGTTCCAGGTGCATCAGGTCGCAGCGCCTGTCCAGGCCGCGAATGCCAGCGCCGAGGAAGCAGCAGGCGGACCCAAAGGCTTTGGTAAGCTTTACAAATTCCGAGATCTCCCCACACACATCCAGCTTATCCCATGAATACTTTAGTGAACTTTCGGGACAGCAAGGAGATCATGATGACCAGCGACTCGGAGAACAAGTTCAAGTATTCCGCGCAGCGCACCAATCGCACCAGCAACAAATTCAGCATCTCCACGGCCACAGTGCCGACGCGCAGCGCCAGCGCGATTCCACCGTCGACGCTGGCGCAGCAGCGCGAACGGGAGCGCATCACGATCAGCAGCAGTAGCAGTAGCAGCAGCAGCACGAGCAGCAGCACATCAACTACAATGGCCACGCCCACCAGAACGCCTGGACGCTGTTTGCCGCACGAGCTGCGCTGTGTGAGTGGCAAGTGCATAACTGTAAATCAACTGTGCGATAAGGTAGGTCAGCCAAGGCAAACCTAAGAGTCTACTCCAACTCTCTCTCTCTCTCTCTCTGTCTCTCTCTCTCGTCTTTCAGCAAATAGACTGTCCAGATGCGGCTGATGAGATCATGTGCGTCTATCGTGAAAGGCCCACTGTGCGTGCTGTATCCACAACAACAACAACAACTAAGACAACACCAACAACAACAGCAGCAGCATTAACAACAACAACACCAGCAATGACCACAACGAGACGTTCGGTGCGAACCAGTCCCAATCGAAGTCGAAAGCCCAAGTCCTAAGCAGTTGAACTATAACCGCTGTACATTATATGCAATTTGATACATCTATTATTATTATTATTAATACTATTTATATATAACTTTCTTATCTTTCAAACGCGCGCTCGCTATATGTATGATATATACTTATATATATAATAATTGATAATTGGCTAGATCTTAAGTTGTTGTAGATTGTTTGACTATTTTTATGTATCAACTGCCAGGTGAATGTCTGGTATGTTTGTATCTTTTAGCAATAATAAAGTTAAGATTGTAGATAATCCAATAATCCAAGTGTGGTAAGTGAAAAGGGCAGCACTCTTGATTGTTTAATGCATTATCTTTTGGCTATGCAAACGACAACCTTGCCAGGAGCATAAAACACTTCCATTGTCTGAGCATTGAGACCTCGAGGGTCTTTCTCTATCTTTATGCTGACGGTACAATAACTTTTTAAATTTTCAAATACTGAAATCGATACAAAACCCAAAAGACAATTAAACTCGGGACAGTATTACAATTTCACGGCGACCTTCAAGCTGAGGTGCTTGTCCACGTCAGCCCACGCATAGAAAGTCATTCGGAAACATTCAATTAACGTGCCCATTGTCATTGTCATCGATAGAGTAAGGCGAGCGAAGGCGGGGGCGGGGCGGGGCCGTTGGCCAGTCTATTCATTATCTATGTGCGAAGTGCATTAAAGACACAGACAGACAGCTGACACTCACCCACGCACAATGCGACTGGATATGTAACATAATATGGCCCCACTCAGGCTGCGGACTGCAACACGGAAGACAACGTGACAACGGGGCGAACAACGGGGCTTTCGGGCCAAAAGACACTTGTCAAATGAGTGCGGCTGGCAAATCTACAAACCACAAACAGATTAAATTCCAGTTCAGACATAAATGACCAAACCTAAGGCAATTTGGAGATGGAACTCAGCTTTCGAGCTGAGTGGGAGAATGATATATGAACGAGCGGAAATTGAGATATTCATATAATTTATGTTAGAAATGAGTAGATGGATATTGTATGGCATATCGAAAGGTATTCATTTTATTATTATTACTATAACTAAATAAAAATGAATATGAATATAGAGAGGTTAATAGAGAAATTTCAATTCATTTATTGCAGAAACTTATAGCTTTCAAAATTAAAAAAAAAAAAATGTTATTATAAATTAGTTGAATATTTTTATAAAGATAT